ACTATTAAATAAGTTTGCTTGTAAATGACAAACTATGAAAATAACAGAAATTTACTTATTCTGCAAACAGGCAAGTTTGCTGTGGAAGTTTTGTCTACTTCAGGGCTGCAGAACTTGCCTCTGAACTCTGTGTGTGTGTGTGTCTGTGTGTGGTTATGGTGTATTCCTGGAAAGGGGAATTCGGCTTGTTTTGATTAGTTAAAGCCTTTACGGTTAGACAACTGTTTGCAAAATGGATTTCTGCTATTAAAAGGGAAGAGTTACAGCAAGAGATTTTTCTTTGTGAGATACGACATTGAGATATCAGATGTGTGTTCTTGTGTGCAGTTATATTTCGTGTGGTTTTAATTTAATAAATACAAAAAATACCAACGTGTCTGTTCATAATGAAGTTAGCTTGGTTCTAGTCTGGGTTTTGGGAAGAATGGTTTGTCTAGTCCCACGAGCTATTAAATGCTAATTTCAGGGCAAATAATGTCCTTTACCGTATAGCTCACCCTCCTAAACAAGACCTGTAAAAACTATTTGATCTAGCTGTGCAGTCAAGAAAACTGGATTAAGCTTAGTAAGAGCCACAGTGGCCAACCTTCACTTTTCTGAGAAGAGATGCCAGTGTTCAAGCCTGCAAGTGGACCCACCTGAAGCTCGGGAAGGCAGGGTGCAGACTGCATTCGCTCTGCCTTGAAGTAAACGTCTTAGCAAATTCTTGTTAGCCATCCTACAGTTTTTCCTCAAGTCTTCAGTAAACCACAAAACTCTCGTCAGTAAGAATTGCTGGATCCCCACTGTGGCAGATGCTGTTTCCTATATATCAGCTCATACTTTATTGCTCCCTTAAAGCAAAAACCTTCTGCAGTATGTTAAGATGGATGCAGTATAGAAAGTTACATTAATTTACTAAAACCAAAAATAAAAATTCAAAGCTAGACAGGAATTGGTATTTCCCTAGAGTTTGCAGAAGCTTAGGCCTGCCAGGCTCATTCAGATCATCTCTAGCTCTGGCCCTAAAGAGCTCTGTGGCAGCACACAAATTAGCAAGGACAGGGAAAGCTTGGAGTGAATAAAAGGAAGCATTGATTTTTCTTGAAGAGACCGGTGAATTAGTTTTAAGTCTTACAGCTTTCTTAAATTATAGTTTTCTTAAATTTGTGTCTGTTCCTTACAGGATAGTGATTTCTGTTGTTGCCAGTTAATTTCAGTAGGACATTACAGAGCCAGTATAAACTATTTTTCCAAAGGTGACCCTCACTTCAAGCACAGTTTTACTTTATAATCCTACAGGAAAAATTTAATCCCTTTCTACCACAGACTTGCTATTGTAACATCCAGCAGGAGCGGGCCCAGGGTGCTTTGGGAGCAGGCCAGAGGCAGAGCTCCCCTCACACAGCCTGCACACCCCCTGGCAGCCACACCAGGCTGACCCAGCTCCTGCCAGAGCCACGTTTCACTCCATCCTCCCAAAGAGCGCTGCAGTGCTCCAGGGCCTTCAGGACAAGCAACAAAAGATCAGTGACGCTGTTGCCATCTACTTTTCCTGACTGAGAAAGGCACACGGAAGCACAAAGGGAGAAGCAGCTGTGCCAGCCTGTAGGCACAGCTGAGCAAAGACCCATCGCTGCACACCCTTCTCCTCAGACACAGGCAGAATCCAGCCCAGCAGCACCCTGATGGACTCACAGCACCTCTGGAAACACCACCGCACCAGCACTCCACACGGCATCCACCGCCAAACCGTTACCATAACCCAGCAGAGATGCCTAACCCATCCGTTCCACACAACCATCTTCCCCCAGAGACAATTTCACCACCACCATTGACCACGACAAAGGCTGCCTGTGAGAGGCCTTACCTTGCTGGTCACAGGACACTGCTCGGCCAGGGGAGCCCTTTTCTTGCACTCCACTTGTCTGGCACTTCCAGTTCTTCTCACCAGAACCCACAGCAACCCCTGTCCTCTCACCCTGGGGGGAGGCTGCTCCTTATGGCCACCGGGCCTCCCAGTGGGCTGTGGGGCCTGACGAGCCCCCGGGCCAGCTGGGTCTCACAGCTGCTGCCAACCTGGCTTTTGCCTGAGTGCTGATCCAACGGGGTTCTTTGCAGAATGGGCAAAACGTTAGATTTTGTTGTGTTTAATTAATTCCTGTTCTCGTTTTCAGGTAGATAGATGTGGTGTTTTCTAATTCCTAGGACAAAGACAGGGACTGAATGCCCATTTTTATGGGTAAAATATTTTTAGAAGTTGCTTTACTGTGCTTCTGCAGGTTTCTGGCCCCCCTTCACTGGTGTGAGGTCCTGTGGGCTGCGTGGAGGGGCTGCAGCCCTCACATGGGGCAGCGGGTCACACACATCTCTGGCAGGCACCCACTGTGCCCCATGTCCCCTCAACCCTGAGGGACATGAAGCAGGTGACTGAAAACGGTGCCTGGGAACAGCATCTGTAACAGACTCAGCATCATTCAAGATGGAGTTTTCCTACTCGGTAAAAAAGGGGTTCTTAAGACTCCAGAATAACTAATGTTTTACATTGTCATATTATTACTCAATAAAATGACAGTTTTTCCTGTACATTTTATATATTGTTTATATATTATCCTGTATATTTTGCTTCTCACTCCCACATTAATTCTTCCTACACTTGCAACTTCATTCTTTGTTTATATATTTACATCAGTCCTACAAGGTGTGGTTCAGAGCTGGAACAGGGCAATTTTGGGCTGAAGTGAAGCACAGAGTGCGGGTAAAATTCCATGGTTTGCACCTATTCTGTGGCGGAAAACCTGCACGTTTGTGGGTTTGTTTTTACATATTTCTTCTGTCAAAGCTTGAAAAGTCAAAACCCGAGCAGGCTTGGCCTAGGATCTTTTTAAATGAAATGTGGGACATAAACCACTGAACAGTTTTCATTTGGGACTCGTTGGTAACGTGGCTGGAGGCTACTAAAAGCCCAGTTAACTCGGCCCTCGGGTGCTGTGGTTGATGGAACATTCCCAGAGTGGGGCATCCCCCTTCCCGAAGACCTTGTGATGAACTCCTGTTGGTCTGTGGTGCCAGCCATCCTCAAAAAGCTGGGGCAGTGGAGAGAAAAGATGCATTTTCTTTGACACACAAAAGCAGCCTTGTACTACTGTATCTTGTAGTAAAGTGTTTAATAAAGTACAGTATCAGAAACAAGAGTCTAATAAAAAAGCTCAAAAGGTGAATAGCATATATGTTGTACTTGTTACATTTTCAGTGATAATTTAGGGAGTGAAGGATTTCTGAAGGATCCAGCAGAAATACAAACAACATAGAAACTGCTCTTTGTCAATTTAGAACCAGAGATGTGCAAGTGTTGAAAAAACCCACTTTCTCACCAGGAAAAAGGAAAGCACTGGCAGAATGATTTACTAATTACGTATTAAACACACTAGCAGCAGATGTCCAGTGCTAACGTGCTCCAAGTGTTCCCTTCAGACTAATGACTGATCTGTAGTGCAGGTTGAAACTTGCGTCACTGGGTTTGCTTTTATTTAACGTAAGTCACAGCCTTTCAGAAACGCTGGGTGATTCATCAGGCTGGCTGTGTTTTTACTGTGTCTGGTTCTGACAGGTGTGATTTACGATAGATGTTCGTTTGATGTACCGGCAGTGTACCTGAAGCATTCAAACAATGAGTTTAATAGGCTTGGTCAGGATGGGGAGTGAATCTGGTGTGAAAAATGTAGGTGAGGCTGCTCAGTGACCCCGCAGCCAGTCATCGGGCTGGTCTGTGTATGTACCCCAAGTGATGCACAGCACCAGGGGAAGCACAGGACAGGTCCAAGGACGTGCGTACTCTGAACTAGGATCAGGTCATACCCCTTGTTTGGACTTTTTTTTTTTTTTTCCTTCCCCTAAATGATGTTTGTGCTTTAAGTTACAAACTTTGCAAAACTGAGAGAAAACTGAGAGGTTAAAAAATACTGTACTAGCCTTTTTGTGGAGACAGGCTGTTGGTAGTCACAGGTGGGTAGTTGATGACATCTTTCCATTTGTACCAGACTCCCGAGAGGCCAAAGTAAGAACCTAACTTCCAATGAAAATTAAAAATATTATATTACTCATTATATTGACAGGAGAAGGAAGTTTGTTTTTTTTTTTTTTTAAAGTAACCATTGGGGAAGGAAAGCTTGTCCTTTTTGGTTTTTAAGTGCAGATCTTAGATCACTCTCACTTCCCCAACTGTAAAGCTCTATGCTTCTCCTGATTTCTGTCATAAATCCAAAAATCCACTTTTCCAGTGTGACAGTCACACAAAGTAAGTCACAAGCTGTTGCAGAAAACAACCGAGATCTACAGGGACAAGAAGAAATTCTGTTCTTTGGGAATATTGGATAATAATAATAATAATAATAATAATAATAATAATAATAATAATAATAATAGATGGTTTATATGAGAACAAATACACTGTTTCAAAATAACAGGAATTAATTTTTCCTAATTATCTGCAGTGTTTCTAAGGGACTATTTTTCAAGCAGGGAGGTTATATTGACTACATTTCTGGATACAGTTTTTAATCTTAAAATAAATGCCACGATTAGTGACTGATACTGCAGTTCAGTGATCCATATCAGGATGTGTATGAGCAGTACTTTTTGTGTGCTAGAAAGCACTCATTGCCTTATCTATCATCAGTTTTCAAACAGATAGGCTGTCACACCTCACTGCTACCACATTCGTTTAATATTTGTTACCAGTAAGGTTCTGTTGATAATGTTCGGTTGATAATTTATGTTTTGCAGGGATTCCAGAGTTTATACTTGAGTTGGCTAAGAAACATTGCTCAAACCTCCCCCTTAATCTCCAACGGTGCTGAGAAAGGGAGGAAGGAAACGACCGGCCCATTTAACGTTTACAGAACTTTGTGCTGTGAGGGCAGTGCTGTAAGTCAGCATCTTCCTTCGCTGGCAGGCAGATGCTGACCTCTGCATCAGCTAACATTTTCTGTATCAATCTCAGAAATGTCATGAGCTTTTTAAAAAAAGTCAGAGCAGGGATAACCCCAATTATCAATGAAGAACCTGTAACTAAAGAGAACAGGGCTTTCCTGGAGTTCATTTACTGCAGGGGATAAGTCTCAGGATTTACATCTTCTGGAACTCAGTTTAAAATTTATTTCTCAAAAAACTTTTTTTACCTTTGATCTTGCTTCATGAGTTCTTTGTGCATAAACTTATCCATTCACTTAAATATAAAAGATGTTATAAACCATTCTTCAGAAACTCTATAAATTGAGAAAGAAGAACGAGGTCAACATTTTCAGTTTCGTTTTTCATTCTTTAGGAGGTGCCAAATTCTTGGCTAGTGGTAGCATATATAAGCCCCCAAAAATAGTTTTCCGAATAATACCGCTCAACGCAGATCAGAAACACACCACAGCCTTGCTATTCAGAGATGCTGGAGATATGAGAGGTTCTTTAAGTCTTTCTGAAAAGCAGGGTCCATGTTCCTAAAAACACCTCTATTTGCAAACTCCCCTTCCCATGCAAAATGAGTTGAATCGCTTTCCTTTTTTTTTTTTTTCCCCTCCCCTTTAAAGAAAGTAATGTCTATTTACACTTGTTATCAGGCTACTCACATCAGGAATTCAACTAATTATGCATGCACAATCATCAAATGGTGCACCAAATGTTTATACATGCTGAATGAAGCAACAATGGGAAGAATACAGCTCTGTAACATGGAAGGCAGTTGTAGTGTCAAAGATTTATCAGTCAGCTGAAGACACTGTAGTTCAAGTTATAGAATACTACATAAAGAAATAAAAAAGGGTCAAGGGAAAAAAGGCATTAGGGTTTAAAAACAAGATTTCTGTTTATGAAATCATATTAAGGAAAACTTTAATAGGTAAATTATTTTCAAATATTTTATTTAGAGAACTATGAACTATTTTCTAATAATGCCCTTTACATAGTTGCATCTATAGAAAGCTAGGGGAGTGAGAGCAAAAAAGATGTAGCATTAAAGGAACTTTCCATCAGAAACGATTGGCCTATCTACAAAAGTAAACCAAACACAAATAATAAATCAAAGAGAACATTACATAATTATTTACCCTATCAAATAGAAATTCAGTGTCAGAATTTGGCGTTTAGGGTGGATTTGTGAGTACGCAGTCAGTGTAGAGCACTACAGCTCTCCATTTCTGCCTAAAAAAATTGTCAGGACAATGTAAACAGAGCATTTCTAATGATATTCTCAAATTAACAGATCATAAGTCATTGAGCTGGGAGTGAGGGAAGCTATACTAGTTTTCTACACGTTTGGCAGCCACTAGGTTTTTACAGGCTGCTATATATGCGTTTAATTACATCAGCCTCTTCCTTGTCCAGGATGCCCTTGTCCACGTAAGCATCAGCTTGCTGATCAATGAAATCTCTCAGCTTTGAAAGATCATAGTCTGAAAAATAAGAATTCATTCGCACAATGAGTCATTGCACCGCTTCACCTAAGAAACAATGTCATTGTAAAGTTTATCCAACAAATGCATTTTATCCAACACGAAGAGAATTCACTACAAGTGTAACTTGTGAAACGAATTTAAAAGAACCAGCACCCTCACAAAGTCTTTTTACATTTCATGGTGCTTTTAGTATTCAAGAGGAATAATCATCTCTTGCTCTTGATTGATTGCTGGCAATGCTAAAGTAAGAATATTTTTGGCTCAAGAGATTCGGTGTTCTAGTCTGCATGACAAAGCTGTGGTTAAAACCCTGTTTTCACAACTGCCATGGATTCAAAAGATAGCATTAAATGGACTGTTTCCTATTGAAATCCCAGTAAAACTCCCACTTACTACAAACACCTGTAGGGAAAAATTCAAGAAAACAACTTCCTGAAAGTAAATTGAAATACTACAACTCTTTACCTTGATAGAGAACATAATATCCTGACACGAACAACACTGCAGTGAGTTGTCTCCGTGACAGTGATGGTGTCAAAGTAGTCTGACACCCTTTGCATGTCAGTCTGCAATACAGTGCTGAAAGACCCTCCCTCCTGTTCCAATAGATGGCTGCATCTAGGCAGCATGCTTCACCCCATAAGCATTCAACAGCCATTGCCTACGCTGGGAAACATCACTATCTTCCCCGAAAATAATTCTGTTGTAGAGCAGTCTTTCAAGTAACATCAAAAGGTAACCAACCTATTGTGTACTCATAACTGTGGCCACAGAACCAGGTATATTCAGACATAAACCCAATACAAGTTTCAGTTACATAATTTACTGCATAAAATGTAAAGCTTAACTTGTTAGAAAGACAAGTTAGTAGTCTGGAAAACTATCAGTGTCTTAAGGGTTCATACGAGTTAAATGAATTAGTATCTCTCACAAAAACAGATATATCCTGAATATTCCAGTAGAAATTACTTATTCCTGAGAGAGAACCTTCAGAATATATTAATACCAATTTTGTAAGGTAGTCCAATGTATATCCTCATACAACACTAAATGGAAGGACCTTCTTTCAAACTGCACATTCTTAACAAAACCGACAATAATGACTTTCTGTCATTTTATGGCTGAGTGACCAAAATTCCATAGAAACAGAAGGACATTAAGAAGCAAATTAATGCTTGTGATCATTTTTATAACAGCAGAAGGCAATTTCAAGCGAGTAATACAGAAAATTGATATTCAAAACTCCCCACTTCTGCAGAGGTGTCCTCTCCATATCTGAGTTAACAGGCACTCTGGCATTTGCTGTGCTGAGGCCAGGATTTCAGGTCTGGGCTGTCACTGACACTACTTGAGAGAATGTAACTTGTCTCTCCATCCTGTCTGAGTAAGGGGGACAACGGTACCCAGCAGTTTAACAATAAGGTTGTGGGATTCCATTCATGTTGACAGAATGAGAGTCTCCAGTGAAAGGTACCATGGAATGGAAATGAATGGAAGAATACTAAATTAATATAATATCCATAATATTCACATTAAAATCCCTGAGCTTATTTTTCTTCTAGAATAATACAACTCTAAGATCATTACGTGGAGATGTGAAGGTTTAATTATTAAACATTGCATATGAGATTACAACCATTCAGATATTGTTCAGTTCTGGCTAATTTGTATATCTCATGGCAATTTAATTTGGGGTTTTTTCCTAGAAATGGATAACTGTTAATTTCTAATACTTATTTGCAACCTATTAAATTGGACAAATAATTAGAAAAATCAGCTTTGGTTTATATTCACCACAACAGCTGCAGCATTACACTGAGCTATGAAACTGCTAGAGTAAATTAAGTGAGGTCATATTTGCATATTCAAATCAAGCTATTTGCCATTGCAATTAATCATAGAATTTACCTTCCTTCCTAAATGGCTAGTGTTAGTGTTATGAAACTATAAACTACCGAAGTATTTTCTGAAAAATCCGAACGTGCCATTTGCATGTATTAGTTCAATGACTCACGGTTGTGTTCTTTGGAGAACAAATGCAAGAGAACACCCAGCAGCTGACGTCTACTGCTGGGAGTGATGTTAATTTACACAGGAGGGGAGCTGGTCTTAAAGTGCATTGGTTTCGGAGATCAAGCCAGGTCTGGGACATCACTAAGGAGAGGCCCACAGAGCCTATAGACTGTATATATGCAAACCAAACTTTGGCCACAAAAGCCAATCAGGCCAAAATCTAGGCTTTTGACATGTTTCAAATCATCCAGTCCACTCAAGTCTACTCACCTCCTTAATAGGCAGTTGATATTTATAAACTGGAAAAATGCAAATTTACATTTCCAGGGTCATTAGTCACTGAACCAATAATAATTTATACAGAAATTCATAGAAAGTTAAGGATCTACAAACATTTGCCTGAAGAAAACCTAAGCCTCTTCAGGTATATTCAGTGAATAAAACGCTCCATGAATAGGGGTGGAAGAGACTGGCCATTTTAAGACACAAATTTGTGAATCACTTCTCTGCTGTCTCTCAGGTGCTAGCTGGAAGTGGAGAAATGATTGATGAGCACATCACCCCCTCATCTTGTACTGAAGAAACTCAGTGCAACGCATTCATGGTTAGATAAGCTTACCCTGCCTGCACTTCCTTTAACATCATCCCAGGAGAACTAAATTAGCATTTTACAAAAATAAAAAGTACGGAAAGGCACGATAACAGTAATGTATCTGAAGAGTAAGGACGCTATTCTAATTCTGTTGTAACTTACACTCATTTTAAGGGCCATTTCCATTGCCAGAGGACAATAAAGGTATTTTAGTGCAAATGAAAATCCATCTATGCAGAAAGCGTGCATCTTAATGCATTCACAGGCAACTAAAATACTATTGATCTGCAGTCACAGCCATTTTCAGACTGTAGCAGTGCAGAGGAAATGTTCCTGTGAAGAGCAGTGAGGGGCTGCCCAGTCGGTATGTGTGATACAAAGAAGTAATCATGCATGACTGAGATTTAATGACTATAATGAGTACATTGATAACCAGAAACTTTTATTAGAATTGGCAGGAAAACTCTTGAGCAAATATGTATGCCTGCTGCTAAGTGCCATCGCTGCCATTGTGTGGAAATGATTTTAGAGATGGAAAATTTTTTTAAAAAGTCATTTCTATTACAGAGTTTCTGCATAGGAAAATGAATGTGTTGGGCTGTAGGCACGCACTCGTCTCTGAAATGTAATTCATATGCACTTCAGCTCACAGAGAGGGTGGCTAGATTACCCAGGGCTAATCTCATCTCAGATCCCCCTCTGCTTGGCTGGTGCAAGAAGGGTCCTGCCCAGCAGGTGCCAGCTGTACCCCAGGGATGGGCCCCTCAGCTAGGAACCTTCCCTTACAGAGCAGCTGATGGCAGAAGACCCAGCAGTGGCAGAGACAAGGGATGGGAGACTGGTTTTATGTAAGACCTTGAGGGCAAAAATTATATGGATAAATAAAGATCTGTGAAAAATAAGCTAGAATTCCTGCTGCTGTTAGCTCCCTTGCTCCAGCTCTCACACAGCCCCCCCCTTCAAGGAACAGACAAATAGTGGGGCAGCTGGCAAGCATACCCTGTGCAGCTGCTTCAGTCACTGCTCCCCCTCTACACAGCTTTGTGTCTGAGAGCTACGAGTCATTAGAGTTGATTTGGGCTGTTATCCAATATATTACAGTGCTAGTGACATAAGTTTGTGTCTTAACTATTTATGGTTATGAAACAAAACTCACTGCTGTTTGTGCTGGCATGCACAGCGCTAGCCAGATGCACTGAGCTTTTCTAGACACATCCAGTCACTTAAAATGCACTTACCTCCTGTATAAAATCGTAATTAAAAGATATGTTGAACTAAGAAATGAAGCACTACACAAAACTGATGTAGTGTTGCCTGGTGACAGGCAGAGCACCATGACTATCTGGACAGCACAGGACTAATGTCCAGCTGGTTAGTCACTGTGTGTTTTGTGCCCAGTGGATGTTCAAGTCAGTTTACATGAATTTGCCATAGTTTACTATTTTCATTCATTGATTTAACTTTTACATGACCTCTATTAGTTAAACCTAACACCGCTAATTATCACTGTGATATAGACAAGCACAGTTTCACATTACTATTATTTAACTTACAACATAATGTGAAGTTATACAATACAATTTAAATTACATGCTTTGTCATGCATATGGTGCCCACCCCAGTGTTAAGGCTTTTTTACGTCATACCTTCTTTGTTACCTTGTTTGTTGTGTTTTTTTAGCCATTCTATGTTCTTCCTGATTGCTTCCAGATATGCCTCAGCTTTCCCTAGAGGAAAGGATGAGAGAGAAATCAGGCACTTACATCCATGATTGATGCAGTTTGCTTAACTGGGTGAAGTTGGTCACAGCGAAGGCAGGTTAAAACTATTCTTAGTTTCTGTTGAAAAGCTGAGTCCTGTCAACCTTAGTCAGGCAAAATTCCCACAGATGGATAGCAGGTTTTGTCTGTGCAAGATTAGTCATCCCCAAACTTAGGATCATGGCTTTTTTGATCTGTGTACATAACTTTTGGTGGTATCTGCAGATACTGCATACATAGATTAAAGGTAACTTGTAGCTTTTTGATCACAACAATTGTTCAGCGAAGATGAAACTGTTAAAACAGCAAGAAATGACTTAAATTAGACCGAAAGCTTTGTGCATCTGCTCATATACAAAGTGTCAGAAAACTCCTCCATACAGTAGTACTAACAGCATACGGCAAATAAGATTGTGATATTTTGGAAAGACAAGTTGAAATATGGCTACTTCCATTTACTGAGAAAAAGGATCTATTAACATTACCATAATAACCCCTTGTTACAGCTGAAATTTTAAAGTGATGGATATTTTTGGACCAGAAAGCACACAGGACAGAATTAGTTCAGGGATTACCTAATAAGGTCCCTAAGGAAATATTTCAGCTAATGGATCTTGAATTCTTAACTTGGCTGGAGCTTTATTGCTGTAATGTTCTTACATTTGTCAGAAAAAAAAACGAGTCTGATTAGCATGTAGAAGGCTACTACTGCCAACTGTGCATGTCTGGTCCCATTAGTAAGTGGATATACTATTAGCTATACCATCCTTTTTGAGCTGGGAGTGCAGAGTTTGCTTTATAGTGAGTTACTCTGTGAAAGAGCAAAGGGAATTGCATGATGAGATAAAGAATTAAATACTGATCCCATTTAAATTTCTAAAAAGCTATTGGGCTGAACATTTTTCTGAAGGTAAAGGAAAATAACCTGTACTGAACTGAACAGATAAACCTTCAATAGACAAGCAAAACACATTATTTATCACGTCTCTCAGCTATGGAGAGAGTTTTTCCTTACTGTGAAGAAAAAACCTGAAGACAGCCATCTTGAGCTATTTTCCTCTTCTATGCTCAAATAACCACTGCTGGAAAAAATGCCACCTCCTATCTGTGGTGGCTAATAGTTTCAATGTCTGCATTGCCCACAGGACCGAACCAGGTGGCCAGTGATCTACAACCTACTGTAGCCTTGATTATTGCAATTCATAACTGAGCACGCTGCAGTGAAACACATGCATCCAAAAAAAGGACGAGCATCAGTGCAAAATGGATTATAAGCAATTCTTTCAGCCAACTGTCTACAAAATATAGATACTTACGCTGGATCCTTATCAATAAGGACCCACTGAAAGGTTTCTGCACCAACAAACATCCTCCTTCAGAAGTTCAGCACTGTGAGGAGGCACTCTGTCTCCTGCAGATTTGTTTTGAGATACAGCAGCTGATCTACACCCCGCGAACGGAGCGATTTCAGCTACTACAGCCTAAAGTAGCACGTGGCATTATGTGTCATGCTGAGGCAACTCGGATAATAAAAGTACTACTGGGCTAAGTTTGCTTATTGAGACACTAACAGTGTAATAAGTTTTCAAAGTTACGTAAAACAGGTTAATTGCTGATGACCCTTAACCTCTGGCAGTGAGTAATGCAAATTGTTTCGCTTTGCAGAACTTTTCAGTACCTACCGGTACCAGCTCATCCTAACACAAACTAGAGAAATCAATGGGCTCACTCAGAATATTGAATATCCCGGTGATCTGATTTCACTGAAAAGCCACAGATGCAAAGCAGCAAAATCTCTCTGTGCTTCTGTGTCAAAATGCATTTTGCCCCTCAAAAGGAGCTATGAATTCTGTGAAAGATTATGGCTTTACTCAGCAAGAAATATACTTTCAGATATTTAAAAATAAGCAAATAATTACACTTCTGAATCAAGCTGTTGTGTGCTGACTCCCAGTAACTCTAAACTTAAGATATTTATGCTAACACAATGGAAAAACAATACCAAAGACAGGAAGAGATTCCAATCACTTGGAGTGTACATATGTACCAAAAGCAATTGTCTATTTTGTACCTCTGGGCTCTTCACTGTTTCCTGCTGCATTTTGCTCTTCAATTTTTGTAGAATCCTTTGAAATTTCATATTCCTTTTCCATTTTAGCTGCTTCTTCCTTTGTACTGTCTGCTTCCTCACTACTTTTGTCTAAAGAAATAACAGTAAGAGCAATTTTGTGTCAAATGTACCAAAAGCTCTTCTAAATCACATCAATACAATCTTTGGGAAGTAAAACATTTTGACTGATGATTTAGGAAAAACTTTATTGGAGTTTGGCTCAAAGTGGTTTCTAAAGGTCATCTCTACCCCAGACCTCTGGAAACAGGAATGCCTGCTTCTGCTCTTATAAACAGGAGTTGAATACAGTTTACAAAATGCAGTAATAGGTAGTTCATAAAGGCACATCCCTTTGTGCAGAGAAAAATGACAGGAAATTTCCATTCACTAGATCCAAAGTCATCATAGAATGATTTTTTTTTATTATTTGAGTCTTAAAAAGCATTGATACAGCTTGCTTTCGTATATGTGTAATTTCTGCACTGCACTGAAGAAAAGGACAGTGAATATACTTCTCAAAGACAAAGACTGGACAACTAAATAAAAATTCCTCTCTTGTTGTGTGTTTAGACATCTAAACTGTGGCTACGGGTCCCTGAGAGACTGTAACTATCAGTCTGACTTATAAAGCCATTAGCACACTTTAGCTGAATAGACTTTTAAAAAAAGTGTTATTCCAGGAGAGAAAATTGTAGAATAAATACCTGCTGGTAGCTTTGTTCTGGTTGGAGTGGAGGGGTTCTCAAGTTTCTTCTTTGTCTGCTCAGCTATCATTGTATCTAAATTTTCTAGAAATCAAGGCAAAACCAAACCCCAGTTACTCTTCAACAGTTATGATGCAGGATCTATGCTATACTCTCTGCAACACCAGTTTGAGTGGTAAGTACAAATCTAAAATAACAGTCTTCACCCAAGCCTCTGAAGAATTGATGCAGAGCCAACATTAAAAGAACAAACAAATAGTTTTACGGAACTTTGATCAATCTTATTAAAAAAAAACCCCAACTAAATCATTGCAATAGGTGTGCCTAATAGAGCCAGTATTCATACAGACAGTAAATGTGTGCATATATATTCTGATTATTTAAGCCACATTAGTCACAAAATATAGATAACAGTATCTGTAGCAATTTATTCTGATTAATATATACAAGACTGTGAAATAGGTGCTTCATCCTGGTGGGAAAATATTATCCCAAACTGTTTATCTGTCTGGATTTTATATGGTTTCACTGGAAAAGACGTCTAATAAAAGGTTACAAATTATATTTAGATGAAATAAATATGTAAATTGAACTGATTAGAACAATTCTTTTTGTTTTTAAAGTTGCTGAAGTCAAGCATTTACCTGAAAACCCAGTAGACAGCCGTGGCCATGTATACAGCTTTAGAAGTCTAGAAAATGTTTTTCTATGCAAACTTCAGGGCTGAACTGATCTAATTTGAAAGTAAAAGCACTTTTTCATCAAGATGGATGTTTCAGAGATAAACACTGTATGCTTATGTGGGAAAAAAAAAAGTCCTTTTGATATAATACTTAATAGACATTCACAAATACATCATGCTGGTTTCCCTCAGTCGTATTATGGACATGGTGTTGAATTTTGTTTCCCTTTATCAGCTTTCTTTAAAGGATCAGTTAAACATGGATCTAAAATTCGCCAGCTAGTTGGTGGGGTATTTTTGAGAGACTTGGTTTTGAATTGTCAGTGTTCCCTTTACATAAACAGCTAAAATATTCAGTATGAGATATAGTAACTGTGGCAGAATAGATATTATAGCACTAGTAAATGTTTTAGATCATCTCTTCTGTGTAAGGCCAACATTTTTTTCCGTCAGAAAGATACTCAGCACTGAAAAGCTAAGGATTAGCTTTTTAGCAAGCACATTTCTCTTCGTGGCAGATCACCATAAGCAATTCTGCCTACCATCTGATGAGAAACCACATAATCCTGCCTGCTCGAGTCCTCTATATTTTGTTATTTATACAGAATTAAAATATAAGCAGTTTTTGTCGGCGCCCTGCCTGATCGCACCCTGTCAATTCTACATCACATTAAGGTTTTTTTTGTGAAAACTATTTTCATTTTGTACATACCCTTTTAATGGGATTTCTGACCTTGCCATATGTCCTAAACTAAACAGGCCTGGGCTGGGTTTCAAGCTGGATCAGACATACTGATGAAGAAAGAAACCAGTTGAAATTACAGTAGTGGTACTGATGGCTCACTAATCACTTGATCCAAAGCTTATTGAAAGGACTGTAAACACTCCTTTCAGTTGAGCTTAAGACACTATTTTTTATCCTGAAACAGCACCATACTAGTATTCCAGCAGGAATATAAGGATTTCCCTGTTGCAAGAGGCACAGTTTTTAGGATAAGATTATATAGCTAAGAATTTAAAAATCCTTTGTAAATTGAAGTGAATAGATTATTCTCCTTCACTAATTCATGCAAATGCAAAAATGTTGCTGATTTGAGACCTCAATCCAGCAAAATCTATTAGTCTTAATTTTAAGTGTAAACACATTATTTTAAAATAAATAAGGGCATTTAAATGTTTAAAATGCCACACATATGTAAGTGCATTGATTCCTAAGTGCCTTTCATGTTCTGTCTTAAAAAGTGTCTGCATGTAGGCACTGCTGCAGTAAGCTTGCATGAGCGGAGAACAAAAAGACTCCACCACAAGATGGATTTATAACCTGCTTAGACGTTTTTAGATTTCAATGTCTGCAGGCTGATAATATTTCCAAATGTTTTTGTTGTGTTGATAGACTGTAGTGTTTAAAAGTTGTACACATATCCACATACAGCATATGCTACTGAAGGCAACAGGATTTATACTCCTCCATTATTCAGTTACTCCTATAAATCCTATCGGGAATTCTACAGTTTCTCTGGGTCTTTTGATTTGGCTAACAATTTCATCTGAGTTCAGTATACGAGTAATAAACAATATTTATTACTCCTTTGTCAAGTACAGTAACACGGTAATATGCATTGTTTTCCAGCCGTATCTATATATGAAGCACAATATGGCAGCGCTGACCACTAATGCTCCAGGCTTTGTGACTGAAGCCAGACTGAATATGATATTCCATTTTCGGAGCTTTATTTTGTCCGAAAAAATATGGACAAATTTATATGACAGGCCTTTTAATAAGGACTACTTACAGGAGAGATACTGAAGCTATCTCGCTAGCTGTGTGGCAGAGAGGAGTTAACTGTGTAAGCCTGCTCATGTTTATGGGGATCATCTGGTGTCCCCACATATATATCATTGAGAGAATATTATTGCCCTTTTCCCCCTTCAGAATTAATGTCTTTAACAGCTGGTATTGTTTCAAAACACGTTTGTATTTGTCGTATGTGGCTAGGCCAGGGCTGAACAATGTTTGCTCTGAGTTACACTGATGGAGTGAGTCATCTCAAGTGAGATGTGCCTGGCCAGCAGCTAAGCAACTGCATGGCGTGTTTGGAGGTCTAACAAGAATTGATTACTTTTCTGGTATCGTTTCCCTAGCAACGTAATTTTTACAGAGGAAGAGTTTAGAAAGGTACTGACCTTTCTGCAGAGCTGGCCACTTATTTGAAATGGCACTAATTAAAACAACAGAACAATAACTACTGAGCTAATGGAAGTGACCTACGTTGGTAAAATAGGTCGCTCCTCTGGCAGCCAGCTTTCCGCGGAGCAATATAATCTCATCGCTCGCACCAGACATCAGGAGTCAGAAGATCTGGTTTCTGCCTTGCCTCGCTTTCTAACGTGCTCTTTGATCTGGGATGACTCACCGAAGCATTCATGCTGCAGGAGGGCTCCTATTTTGAGTAGATATTCTGAGATGTCCTAGGCCTAGTTTCTACAGGCACTACACACCGATAGATCCTATTAATTGCATCTGAAAATGCAAATTCCCAGCACTTCTGAAACTCTGAAGTCCTTCGAATTGGGCATCCAAAAATGTGAATCACATAAAAGCAGAATGCTTATCTTTACTCTGGGAGAATGTGCTGCGGTAAGACCCTTTAAATCCAGGGGGAAAAAAAAGACACTATGTGAAAAAATAATACAAATTAAATTACTTTGTTCTTATTAGAGAGGCAGAAACTAATGTACCCATCTGAATATTTAATGGAATTAGTAATGAGAGCCTGGAATGGACCCTTCGCTACAGACAGATTCATGGTGTTTTCTGGACTCTTGCAAATTTTCCTGCAAAGGGTTTTTTTCATCTGCATAATTGTCTTGCACCTGGGAGGCAGTTTCACATTCTATCCTCAACAAATTGACTGAAGCTGAGATTTTACATCATTAAACTTCCACAGAAAGACCTGCTTTGCTGTTCTGTTTTCATACAGCACAGAAAGGCCGTGTTTATTAAAGGAGGAAAAGGGATGATCATGGTACCTGAAATCAGTCTTAATGATAGCTAAAAAATCGGTTTACTTAATGAGTTCATACGCTACAGTAGCTTCTAGCTGGAAAGCTTTGTGCTTGTACAAGATGCACATATTTCAGGCATTAAAAAAGCACAGTTCTCCCAGGGCTTTCTGTCTCCAGCAGCAAACGATCCTTGAGAGTTTGTAATGTCTTTTTCCATCTGTGACAAAACTCAGGACATCTCAGCATTTGCTTGTGACTATTCTGTGGGGAATAGTGTACCTGATTAATTCTTTGGCCAAAGCCTCCTTTTAGTTTATGTGAGCACAGGTCCAAGAACTGTCAACACCCACCATATTTTCACCAATGTAGCCAAAAGCAGAGCTTGACTTTTAGTCAGCTCATATATGTATCGTGCATATGTCACATAAACTGCTTAAACTGAGACAAACAAGAGAAATCCCTCCATTATGGAATTACAGATGGGTCTCAGCCTTGCACATCTCCTGCTCCTCTCTAAGGCCCTGCCTTACATGTCAAGATACGGCATTTTCTTTCTGAATCTTCCTGCTTGACTGATTCATCATGATGGTGTGTCTGAAGCCTAATGCTGCCATGAGGAATGACATGTCAGTTGACAAGCCCCAGGTAGTGGCATCACTTGTAAATGGATTACAGGCAAGATGGTCAGTGATTTGAAATAAAACCAGCACCAGTATTGCTGGGCATTCAGATTAAAAGCAAATAAAAATGTAAAACACAATTAAATAGATGTGTTTTGAGGTGAACAAAGCTCTGATCAAGCCTCCTTTACTGTCCTTATTAAATTCCCTACCTCACAGACTATTTCTCAGATTTATCCTTTCAGTATTCTACAGGCATTTCCTTTGCACATCCTAGAGCTGTGTAGTGCAGTCCTTTCCAAATCCTTTCCCATCTTGAAGTTGCTACGTGGCCTGTGCACACATTTATGTATTTTGATAGCATGCACTTTATAAGCATGATTGTTTGGGACTGAAGCAGCACACAGCCGCCTCTACTGCAGGAGTGGGATGGAGCTTAGTTTTGAAAGTTCAGTGACACCCTCTTTACCCTGCACCCACACCATCATCTCAAATCATAACTTATGGTCTCAGTGCTCAGCTGTCAACAGAGAGATACTGAATGCAGAAAGTAAAGGGGGTTTTATGTAGCTATAAAATACAGTGAGAAAAAAGAAAAGCATTGCCCTCCTTTCTTTAGAAACACAAACCACTTGGTAGGCTGCAAAACCTAGATCTTCAGGAGCTAAGCAATACACTTGTCAAGAGAGACATTACAAGGAGATGGAGATTTCTTACAAATTCAGTTGGGAAAGCATAGAGGAGCCAGTGAGGGGAAATGGAAGAAGAGGCAATAT